GGGACTCAAGATCACCTTCAGAATGTCATGTCTTGTGTCGTACCATCCCGATATTATATATATATATATATATATTATTTTATTGTTTATTTATTTATATTTCCTGTTTAAATATTTTTTTATTTAATTTTTTTCAATACCTAAACAGTGGGCCCCCTCCCTTATCTCATATTCAAAATTAATTCATTTTTATTCCTTTAATGCCATTTCAATCCTGTTTGATTATTACCCTTCTCCTCTCCCTATTAACTCCATTTCTCTCCCCTTCATCCATTCTTTCCTCTTCGTCTTATTTTTCTTAAAAATTATCTATCTTTTTTTTTAATTTTCAAGTGTTCATATTAAGTCCTCTAATTATTAGTTATTATTTTAATTAATTTTACTTCTTTAAAATTTGTTGTTGCGTTATATAATTTTTGTTATGTTTTCTTGAATATATGACTAATGTTAATTTATCAATTGTATTCTGTCTTTTTCATTTGTATAATATATATATATATATATACACACACATACATACTGGGGGATAAATAAATATCGATGAGTTTCATTATAAAACTTAATTAAAATTTTCATAGATCTTAATATTCACTTCTGTGATTTTAAATTATAAGAATCAAATGAGAGATTGAATAAACTCATAGAAAATGAAAGTATTATGTTCCATAAACACGAGTAAAAAAAATCAAAAAGGAAGGGGGACGTGAGATGAGCTAAATCCATTTTGTTGTACTTCAATCGATTATTATTATAAACTATCTCCAATTATCTCACTAGAATCAATAAGAAGTGGTTAAATTATTAATTTTGTCTCAAAAAAAAATAAATTTTTAATTTTATCCCTATTTAAATAAAAAAATTTGCATTATATTATACCACGTTGTTAATGAGTTTAAATAAGGATAATATTAAAAAAAATGTAAATACCCCGTTGTATGTCTTATATTAAGAAAAAAAAAAGTGCTTCTAAAAAATACCCTATAACAGGGACCATAGAGAGCATGGTAATGGATTTTACGCATTTATTCCTACTACATTTTTCATGTGTATTTTGTTAAAACTTAATTCACATTTTGAAGAAAAATAACTACCACATTCATGTCTCAAGAAAACATTGAAGCAACTGAAGGAAATCTTGAAACTAAAATAAAAGCTTCATTGCCTGAAGATATAAGTAAAAATGGTTAAAGAAAGTAATGATAGTTATCGGGGTATCCCAATCTCCTCCCAACTGTTATCAAAATGGGATGACTTATGGAATAAAATGGGACGTGAGATAATATTTGAATTTTGAGCATTTTTGAAGATAGGATATGGAACATAGGTCATGTCCCATTGCATGAATACCCTTTGTGACAAGATGAGATTTGCAAATCAATGCAAATCTGCGATGAGATTGGGTCTTTTGTTGTGTTTTGTCTGGGGCTATAGTTTTAGGCTCCTTCTTCACCACAATGCATAGTTGTGTAAGCTTCCATGACAATTTGAATAGCCCATGCATCACTGCACATATGGGCAAACCCCAGATAATTTGAATAGTTTAGATCTTCTCATTACAAATTTCAATTGAATTTTATTCAATTTAGAACAATAAGAATGATGAATATCCTTTCCCTCCCTCCCTCTCCTTTCATTAAAATTGTAAGAATTTTTTTGAAGAATCAGATGTTAAAAATATAAGGCTAAAATACAAAAAATTTCTTTGATCTTTAAAATAATTATATATAACTTCCTCACTTTTAAAAATTTAAAATTAATCCCCTAACTTTTAATTTTATTTTTTAAAACTCCCTATTGATAATTATGTTATTTTTCATGAGGTTTAAAATGTCATTCAATTAAAAAATATTATTAAACAAAATATTATATTATATAACTATTTGTAATAAATTTTTTATATTTTTTAGATAGTTGAGGCATTGATAATGGTCAAAACAAATGTTATTATCACAGTATAAAATTTTAAATATTTACTTTTATGTTAGTTTTTTTTTGTTATTAATGGTGAATAGTTTTTTAGTATTAAAAAAAAATTAATCTAAAATAGTAATATTTAATATTTTACATATTTTAATCATGCGTATTACATTAATCTAACATAAAAATATAAATATAAATTTATTTTTTAAAGAAATAAAATCATGTACCATTGATAACAAAAAATATTGATAAAACTAATATAAACATAAATATTTAAAATTTTATGTAGTGTGCGAACTGGATTACTCAATGTTTTACAAATAATAATACTGACACTTTAATTTTTGATGTTCTACCCTCAGGGTGTCATCCTTTTATAAGACTTGACTTAACCTAATCCCTTTTTTTGCACGGCTTACCGTAACTTTGTATTAAAAAAAATTATACAGTGATAATAATATTTTTTTATTATTAATATCTCAACTGTTCAAAAAATATAAAAAATTTATTATGAATCGTTATACAATATAATATTTTGTTTGATAACATTTTTTAATTGAATGACATTTTAACTCTCATGAAAAAATATCATAATTAACAATAGGGGTTTTGAAAAATAAAATTAAAAAGTAGGAGAGTTAATTTTAAACTTTTAAAAATAAAGGGGTTTATTTGTAACCATCTCAAAATTCATAAAGGTTTTATGTATTTTAGCTAAAATATAAAGCATTTTTAATATTTTAATATGTAATTAATGTAAAAAGATGATATTAATTTAAAAATAATTAATTAATGTGTTGAAAAGTGGAATTGGAATACAAATATCTTATATTTTGGAAGATACAGCACCTTGATTCTCTTCACTCCAACAACAGTGATTCTGGGAGTAGAGAGAGGCTGAGCACGGAATATTTCGCTGTCTAAAATTTAAAATCATGTCGTATTTGTACTGCAAAATTCTTCATTATTGCGCCCACAAACGAGGCCATATGCCTTCAAATATATTACCGTTACCCTGATCATGCCCAATATCATGAATCAAATCCCACGAAATCCGTGTCATGAATCTTCCATATTTTGATAGGATAATTTCCTTTTCCCCGGCCAATTACCTTCCTAATTGATTTTGACATTTGTAATTCACCTCCTAGATATTTCATGCTTTTGCACTCACATAGTACTTTGTCTCATTGCGAGATTGCTAACGTGAATGGGCTTGTTTTGGGCCTCCTAATAAATGAGCCCAATTATTCATTTCCATCTGTACAACTGACCATCCAATTTGAACTTAATTCACCCCTTTTTTAATTGAACAAGGAAAGAAAATTAATAAAAGATAACCATAGAGTCAAAATATTCTCCCTTCTATTATTTGGATAAATTGAAATTTAAAAAAAAAACTGACTAATTTTACAATGATAATATAATGCTCATATGAAAAAAGTGTAACTGTTATGCTTCTTTATTTCCTCATTTATTGTAAGTCTTAAAAGCATGTTTTCCTCTAAAATCTCTCAACTTATAGAATCTTTGGGAAGAAAAATATGTGAGTTTATACTTTTTTCCTCCTGCGCCTTTTTTATCATTTTCTTTCACTATTCCAATAAAAAATATATTTCACTGCTTATTTTCTCTTCTTCTTCTTGATTTTTTTCAAGATACTCTATGTAACAAAATTAAATGCAAATAGGTCTCCAGAGTTTCATTTGATAGTAATATGTCCCAGTCAAAGGTGATGATGTCATTTCACATTTTTTTCAAATTATTCCCAAGCCCCAGGAGACTTATTAATATTGAGTGAAATATAGGGGACCTATATGTATTTAATTTTAATATTTAGGACCTATGAGTAAGTTTTCACTTGCTAGGCTTTCCATCTGGACCTGGATATACGTTTATTTAAGCCCATGAAGCAACCTATCCGGAGCGGTCACCCTTATTGGGTACGTTTGTTTATAAATTTCCAATAATGTACATAGGGCAGTCTTGTAAGAAAGGAAAAGTGGGACCTTTTCTTGCGTGTTTTGATCAATTCATGCGAGACTGAGTTCGAATTTATGGTGTGGTGTGTTTAATTCCAGAAGAGAGAAAGGAAAGGGAGAGAAGAGATTTGAATGGAGAAGAGGAAAGGGAACGGAAGGGTAGAGGAGGGAGGAATGAAGGGAAGGTGAGAGATTTTAATAAATCTTTGTCTAGTTTTGGAAGGAAGGAAAGGGGAGGAGAATAAAAAATAAATTAACAATTTTATTTTTATCTAATTTAACTTAATTTTTATTTTTTGATTTAAAAAAAACTGCTATATTAGAATTTATTAAGTTTTTATTTTAGTAATATAAACTTATATTAATAAAAAAATTTGAAGAACAAATTATATTTTATTAGTGAGTTTAATGAAAAATATTAAAATATTGTACATTAAAAAGTTATATATTTATTTTTGTAAGATAACAAATTTAAAAAGTTATATATTTATTTTTGTAAGATGACAAAATTTATTTTATTATAAGAAAGAGAGAGAGAAAAATAATACATAATCTTTTAATATCAAAAGTAATTTAAGATTTTTAAAATAAATGTTTAAATTTGTTTTAATTATTTTTTCTCTCCTTTCCCCCTCCCAAAAAATCCCAAATTGGAGGGAAGAGTTAGAAACTCCCTCCCCTTTAATTTTTTTTTAACGAAATAAGGGTTTTCTCCCTTCTTTTATTAATCACTAATTAAATAAGAGAAGGTGCTCCCCTCCAAAAACTTTTAACCAGACACGTCATTAGGAAAGGGTGTGGGTACAAAAAAGTGGTGACCTGAAACTTGAAAAGGCTATGGCCAACCAAGAGGGGGTAAAAATTAAAAAGCAAAATAAAATAAATGGAAACTACTCTTTTCTTTTCTGTTTTTTTTTAATAAATCATTCTCTTGGATACGAAAAAGATAGAACAAGAATTTACAGATATTTCATAAATTTTATCCAAGCCCAACAAAGTCAGAACCACTCCTGTCAAATTCTCTTAAAAAAGACAAAAAAAGAAAGAAAAAACACTCGCCTGAAGAAATATTGATAAAAATTCAAAGGCCACTCAGACATTCAAAGAAGAATCAATTACTAACACATAAGAATTCCTTTTTCTATAAAAATTATTGAGGCTAAATGGTGATGCTATCCCTCCTCTGCTCTATAGGCGAAGTCCTTAAGCTAAGAAGCCAATACGATTAGCTTGATTTACTTTTCATGGCATGTTCTTTTGCCTTTCAACCTTCTGCATTTCCTGTAACGTTATCAGCTACTATACATTTTAATTGATCTTTCTAATAACTCGTGATTGTTGCCTGGAATTTCCTTAACCATTGATCTATCCTTATATATTTTGAATGTTGGGACAGAGCTCACACCTTGTAATTTTGCCAAGTAGGGGTGGTCTTCAATTTCCACCTAAATTTGCAAATAAATCTCTGTGAGAAGCAAAGCAATGCAAAAGACACGTAGAGAGAATTCGGGATTGTATCTTCCAATTCTTAAATCTAAAAGAAATTTAAATGAACATACCTTAAGGAAATTAACAGATGGAAACCTCTTGCAGGTTTGCTCCAACATTAGCAATACTTGCTTGCGGGTTGCGTTATTGCAAAATAGCACCACAGACGTACCTGTTTAAAAACGTATATCAAGATTATTGTTATTATTATTATTTTTTTTAATGATCTAAGTTCACTCGTGAAATAAGAAACGCATTCGAAATTTGACTTACCAGGTGAGGTTAGATGACGTCGAAATTGATCATTGCTCGATATAGAAACTAAATTAGACCCGAGATTGAAAGACTTGATATCTTCTCCGTGCAGCATCTTGAGTTGAAGTTGAGCCTCGAACAGAGCCCTCCCCACCTCCTCATCTCCTGACTTTTCCCTTAGTAGCATTTCATAGTCCTGAATTGCAGATTCCCATCTTTCCAGCTACAAGCACAAAATGAGAATAAAGAAGGTATTAATTAAAAAAACAAAGTACACAATAGAAGACAAAACTATCAAAGAAAGAAATGAAGTAATGAACTCACCTTGGCATTGCAATCTGCCCTCCTTAGCCGTGCCTTGCTATAACTGGGCTGAACTGCAAGGGCTGCATTACAATCATCAATCGCTTTCTCAAATTGACCTAGCTTAGAACGACATGCTGCTCTGTTGCATAGGAGAACTGAATTGTATGGATCGAGCTCTAGCCCTTCACTGTATGCAGCACATGCTTCCGTGTATTTGGAAGCCTTGAACAGCAAGTTTCCGCTCATTCTGGCTGACGTCATCCCTCTCGCCCTCTTCACCACTACACTCACCTCTTTATCACTTGGATCAAGTTTAGATGCTTGCTCAGCGGCTGTCACCGCATCTTCGAACCTATAATGAAAATCGGCTTGGAATCATTCCTAACCAAAGTTTAAACAGATTGTTGTGGAAAGGAAAGGACCTGCTCCAGATTTACGTTGGGTTTCATAACCTCTAAGATGATATTCAGAGTTCATAAATAATTCATAAAAGACGTTAATTACAGATTTCACCAACCTGCCAGCTGCCAAGTAAACCTGCGCGGCTATCACAAATAGATAAGCACTGCGAGCAAGACCAAATAGCTTGGTGCACCAATTAATAGCAAATTTAGGCATTTTCTCATAGGCAGCATACGCCTCTTCATGTCTGAAGAGCTTAAGCAAGGCTTCTGTTTGCAAAGCATAAACCTGGGGTCCATGAAAAAAAAAAATTCTTAGTCAAGACAAGGCACAAGAAGCTGACAGACCCAGCACCCATGGCACAGGTATGAAAATTCTATTGAGACCAATGACACTAACCTGAGGACTTGAATCAGCACCTAATGCTATAGCAGATTGCGTTTCCTTCAGTACAGTATCCCACTCGTTGATTTTCCTTGCTTCAATGCATTTTTGAAGGTGATTGCGAAGAGACTGAGCTTGGAAAGCAAGTGCAGGATCAGAATATGGGGTTGCCACATTGTAACTTAGTGCCTTTTCTACTTCTCCCAATCTGCATCAGGAATCTCAAATCTATTATTGGAAAAGAAAAATAGAACGCAGGACTCAGCCACATACTATTCCTTGGCAATCGAATGGAGCATGTAATGCAAGTCTTACCAAACTTTAGGGTACCTGAGATATATGGTTGCCAAACGGTGATGGGGTCTGTTATAAGAAGGCTCCAACCGAATTGCTTCCTGGCACTCAACAATCGCTTCCAGAAGACGGCCTAATCCAATCAAAGCTGCACTCTTATTGCAATGAAACGTTGCCTTATTTGAATCAACAGCAATCGCTCGCTCATACAAAGCCAGAGCTTCTTCAAATCTTCCTTGCTTATACGCTTCGTTCCCCATTGTCTTCAACACTTCAGGGTCTGCTCTGTTCTTCGGACTTCGAAACTGAGCAAGCTCATCCATGTTCTTCCTCATAATATTCCCCGTCACGCCTCTACTTGCATTGCCGCGAGAATTGATCAATGAATTCATCACATCTCTATTCTCGGGAACAATTTCAAGACACCCAGTCCTAGTCCTTGGGCGGTTATTCACAAGCAAATTACCAGTCAGTTTGAGGGGGGATTTATTCCCGTTCTCTCTCTGGTAATGAGTGCTAATCCTAGCGAGCTCCAACGAGTTTTCAGGAGGCTGTCTCTGTATTTTGCCATCGTCAATCAACTCGCGGTTTTGTTGAATCTTAGTCTGGGATGAATTACCGGAGGATGATGTCGAGCTTCTTGCAGCGTCTGAAGGTCTCGGATTTTGATTCTTTCCGACGGTAGGAGGTCTTCGATGATCAGAAGGAATCCTTCTAGCCTGGTTGTGGGACTTGGCGGAAGCAGCACTGGATTCATTATTTGGCGGCTTCTCGGATTCAGTTTTACTGTGATCGCTCTGGACACTGTTGCTAGCCTTCATGGGCAGTGAATGAACAGATGATTTTCTCAGCTTATACCTAGTGAGATGGAAAATCCTCCCCATGAAACCACAACCCAGTTCACTCTGCATCTTGTTCTCGGCCTTTCCTGCCATGAATCTTCGAAAATAGCCTCACCGGAGATGAGTGACTGGAAAGGAAATATGTGATGTGCGGTATTAAAAACAACGGTGAAAGAGTATATAGATGCAGGAATTATGAAAGGGAGATGATAAAGTGATGGCTTGGCGGTGAAGGAGTTTATATAAGACAATTGGCCCGGGCTAAGGAGTTATATTCTGATAGCCTTCTCCTGGAGTGGCTTCCAAGAAACTGACTTTAGCTCTTTTTATGTTTTTTTGGGACCTTTAGAGAGACAGTGGGTAGAGTAGGATTTAAAGAATGGACACACCCGCATAAAAGGAAAAACAGATCTGATTATAGTATTTCATCCATTCGTCCACATCAATTCTATAATGATTTGATTGGATTTCCGTCCCCGTCCAAATTACTAAGCAATGATATGGATGAACCTTTTGAGTTTATTTTATCCTTCTTTGATTGCATAAAGAATTAGACTGCTTATTAAGGAAATGAAGGAAAGAAAATCGGAGCCCGGTCACCGGTCGCTGTTGGAGGGTTACAGCTCAGAGTGATTTCATCGGAATAACGGGTTACAGCGCACTCTCAGGACATCTAAAGGGCCAAGGCGTACATTAATTTAAAGCATCCACCGCAAAACTATCCATATTTCATAGATCAGGCCGTGGTGGGAAGCAGTGAATTTACAAATAAGGGAGAAAGAGAGAGAGGTCCTTTTAAGGAATTGGAATGAATGCAAAATCCGGGTGCATTTGAGGCTTCGAGCGGGAAAGCGCGGGCATGATCTGCTAACACGCACACTTCCATTAGAAGCCTGAATGCCATTGGACATTAAATCGTGTGTGTGTGTGTGTGTGTGTGTGAGGGGTCGGAGAACTTTTTGACCGAGAATGAAGGATGAGTCAATTAGCATGATAAAGTGGTTAATTGGGAGACGAATGGTGTGTGGAATTAGAACATGGAGAAAAGGGGTAGAAAAAAGAGGTGGGGTAAAAGAATACAGCTGGGAGCGGCAGTGGGGGTCTCGGTATTTGTTGGGAAACACGTTGTTAAATCATTATATAGAGAATTGTATTACTCCCTCCGTCCCAAATTCTGCTATACTTCCAACCACTTTATTAAAATTAAAAAAAAACAGTTGATTTATTAATTTTTTTTATTTTAAATTATAAGACAATTTTAAAAAAATATTATAAAGCATCAGATAATTTGAAAAAAAAAATTTCATTAATGATACTTTATTCTTTAAATGAAGAAAGAATTAAAATTTATATTGTAACATAATAATTAAGTATGTAGGAGATTTTTAAATGTTTATAGTTTTATTTTGAAAAAAATTAAGTTTGTAAAGTGTCATTATTATATTTTATTACTAAGTATAATTTTATTTTAAATTTTCTTATAATTTAAGATGAAAGGAATATATTTTAAAATGAAAATAATTTTTAACTTTATCCACATTAAAAATAAGAATTGAGAAATACCCAGCATTAGGTAAGCCTTGGAATCAAATTTATAATAGGAATAAAATTAAAAATAGTGAATAAATAATATTCCATGTGTTTTGAATTAAAGATCAAATAATTTTTTAAAAGGTGTTATATAATAAGGAAAATATTGTAAAGTGGGGACATGAGCAGGAAGAATTTTGGAGACAAAGGCTCAGAGACCCCACAGGAATAGCAAGAATTAGAATTGGAGGTGGAGGAGGGTTGCCTTCCCGCCATGCGTGTGCATTGCAGAAATAATGGAGAGGGTTTGGTGGTGCGGGGGATGCTTCATCTTGTTTGATACGGCTCGTTTGAGTACAATTTTCGTCGGTGCCGCATTCTCCTTCCACGTACACTTCCAGAATTACTAGAGACTGCAAGTCAAACATGTAAATTTGACCACTCTACTGTGTGTCATCCTTTGTCCATTACGGGAGTTGGTGTATTCTCAAACACTTCTTTCATTTTAAATTATAAAATAATTTAAGATGACATTATAAGATTTGAATTCTCTCCATATTTTATCTCAATGTATCTCTCCATGTACAATCTTATTCATTTATTTAATTATTATTTTAATTTAATGGTATGAGATTGCTTATTATAATATTAAAATAAATCAATTATTCATAACCATCACTTAATTACTTTTGAAAATAAGATCACACTATTTGTTAATGATAACCCTTAAGTGAATGCTATATTTATTTTAATATTATAATTAGCAATATCACATTATTAAACCAAAGTAATAATTAAGTAAATAAATAAGATTGAATATGCAAAAATTTATTGAGAGAAAGTATGAAAGAGATCTAAATTCAATATTATGTTCATCAATAAAGTTTAATAATGAAACTTTATAAATTTATTTTTTTAAAATAATAATATAAACATTTAAAAATATTTTTTATTTAACATAATTTTAAATACACACACGTAATCTTAATCGTTACACTGTCACTAGTGATAGAGCCACATTAAAGTGAGGGCGGGCAAATAAATTTTGCAATTTTACATCTTCTAATGTTTATGTTGCACTATTTGAACTAAACAAAAAATATACTAGCTCAAAAATGTGTTAAATGTGAAATATTTTAATAATTTAGATAAAATATGAAGTGCATGTTTACATAAAAGATCATATTAACATATTCAATATAAATTTTTAAAAGTATGTATTATTGCAATTTTAGTCATAGTATAATGATTGCCTTTAATTATTTAAATTATTATTTTTAAAAAATTTATTAATTTTTAAAATAAAATTATCTTGCACCACTCACCTAGGCTCCGTTGAAGATAATATTAGAAAACGGTTATTAATAAAAAATTATATAAATTATTTTATATTTTGAGATAATAAAATAATTTTAAATTACCTTATAGTAATCTGAAATTAATATACTCCCTCCATTTTTATTTGTAAAAGAAAAAAATATATTATATAATTTTAAAAATTGATTAACTATATTAATTATGTCTAAAAATAAAAGAATTAAATTGCACTATCTTTTATTAATTATATTAATCAGGTATTCATTAATTATTTATTTATTAAATTATGAATGATAATTTAAAAAGTTTACAATAAATATATATTAAAAAATATAATTTTATTTATATAAAAAAATTAAAAATGATATTTTTTTAAATAAAAACGAAGGGAGTAGTAATTAGGAGTCTTCACGTCTGATTCTCTGATCAAAATCTGCATGCTTCCCCCTACCCAATCCCATTCTCTCACCTGCATCTCTCTATTCTTATCCTATGACACATGCCCTTTCACCAGTCACCACCTCTTTGTCAGAGTCTTTAGTGTTACAAAGATGTCTAAAAAAAAGTTAATTAATTAAATTTAAATTTTAAATGTCAATTTTTAAAAATTAAAAATTTAACTCTCAATTAAATAAATTTATTATAATACATTTATAACTTATATTTTAAATTTTAAAAAAATAAATTTATTTATTTTTCAATCATGTTAAAATTTAAAAAATAAATTATAAATCTATTAAAATAAAATTATAAATTATAAGATAAATTTATAAATTTTTAAAAATTAACACTTAAAATTTAAGTTGAATTAATTTTAATTTTTTTAAAAATTTCTCTATCATCCTCCCTTATTTTTAAGAAAGCATTTGATGTCGGTGCACCTCTCTCCACGAATGTACTTCACAATAAAAATAATGCCGTCCAAAATTAATTACCAGTTTTCTTAAAATTTGGCACTGAAATTATTTAAAGCATTCAACTCCAGACAGAAGAGAGACAAGGACAAAAAATAGCATTGGATTTGGTGTTTTACCATTCAGGCCTATCGCCTGCTGCCTTGACGACAAAGTTGGGTGAAAAATGAGGGCTCAACACGAATGCTTTGGCCCCGAAAAAAAAAAAAAAACACGAGAGCTGATTGATTGCACCAAAATTTCTTTTTTGTGGCCTAAAAAAAGAAAAGGAATGCTAGATCCTGCTTTCGGCTGTCTTCCTAAAAGCGTGGTTTGATTTACATCGAGAGTCAAATTGACAAAGCAAGCACGAGTGTGATGTTTAAATTTGTCCCATCATTTAATACTATTTGGGGAGACTCTCGTCAAAGCAACCCGGAAGGGATATTTAAAATAGCCAGCATGCAAGAGGTGAGGGAGTGAAATGTAATTAAAATTTTTTATGCTCAGCATATAAAATGCGTAGATATTTTGTGCAACTTATATGTATTTTGAGGATCAAGTTTACGGGAAAGAAAGAAAAAACTGAGAATCACGAGGTCATCAAATGGAAGGAATCGGAGGGAAATAATGAGTGATTGATGGGTAAATGGCCAATATTGGGTCATTCTGATTAATCTGACGCTTTTAGAACAGGGGTGACTCCCTCCACTGAGCACCAACTTTATAACTCCAATCATGATTGCCAACTCGCCATTATATTCTCGTTCATGCCCAATTCACCAACTCGCCAATATTGGTTCATTCATGCCCAATTCATCACGGAAAAGAAGCAGAACTCATGATGTCAATCAATATTATATTCTCGTTCAAGTAACGCCGGATATTTTTTTTTTAATTAAACAATTTTTTTAACTCACTTTGATTTTATTTATAAGAATCCGGTTTTTAATACAACTTCTTTGCATTGTTTAATGAAATATTTACAACTAATCCTTAAAAATGCTTGTCTTTATATAACGACTTCTCTATCGTTTCTCTTTAATAAGTTGCACCAATCAACATATGATTTTGGAAAAATTGCTAGATATTTGACACATTCTGGCAAAAAAACAAAATATATTTAAACATATAGTTAAGCATAACTGAATTTTTTTTTTATATCGCACACGAGTCTTTTTATTAAAAACATGGTTGAGTAATAAATATAGTCAACTATTTTAATAAGGATTTGAACATTAATTCAACATTACCTAATTTTTAATATTAGAAAAGAAACTATTAGAACTTTAATTAAAAAAAAATCAAACTATTTATAAAAGAATGTATGATAGATAGAGAAAGAAGCTGAGTTATAGGTAAGAAGAGAGAAATGGTTGGTTAAAGCCTAAATTCAGGGGGAGGGGGCAGCTCGTAAAAGCAGTTGATTACACACAGAGATCATTTTTCTTTGGAATTGAAGGGTTTAAATTCACGCAGACACAGGCACTTGATGAGAGATGATCCTCGGAATTCGGGGAGAGCCGAGGCGAGATCGACCGAAGAGTAAAGGTACCCCCTCAACGCATTGGGCCTACATTTGAGGCCGTCTCATTTGACAACCCCCAGTATATTGCCCCATTAAAACAATCGCTTGGGCCCTTGTTTAGCGTTTTTTGGTCAAAGATACATCCATATATAGATATGTATGTGTCCAACAAAGCCTGCCAAGCCCAGTACAAAGCATCAACCGACCCCAGTACAATCACCTACAGCT